AAACCAATCCAAGCAACTACACACAAATTTGTCCACAGTTTATCCCAAATCAAGGGTCTTTAATGGGACACTTCACAGAGAAACTTAGAGGGAATATGAAAATCGTCAGGGGACTTCTTGCCATGTATTGTGCTGTGCGGCGTTTTCAACACTCTGCGGAAGGTCGAGAATTCACCATGATCACCGGCCACTAACTTCTCAACGTTTCCTCTAATTGTGACTACAGACAAGAACTCCACTCGGGGGTCTCGATAACTGGACTACATTTCTCAGTTTACTGACGATAAACACATTTCTGAGGCAAATAATATAGTTTCAAATGTCTTTTCACGTATAACCTTCTTGAATAGTTTACAAGGAATCGACTTCCCTAGACTTCCCTAGTCTCAAAAGAAAGACACTCATCTTCAACACGAGTTATCTCCGACAACCATGACTCTATGTATCAAACAAACGGGAATAGGTAGTCGAACGTTGCTATATGACGCAAGTACAAGTAGAGGCCGCCCAATCGTCCGGAAGCATTATCGACAAAACACCCTCAATACGTTGCGCAAACTTTCTCATCCAGGTGTTCGAGCAACCACGTTCGCATGGCAAAACGGTTTTGTTGACCTGGTTTGACTAAATATGAGACGAAGTGGGCGCGCTCCTGTGTAAGCTGCCAGAAATCAAAGGGAATCAGACACAATAAATGTCAATTATCCTATTTTCCGGAAGCACGTTTAAGCAGTTTCAATCTTGAATTGGCAAGACCCATGCCGAGTTCAAGTGGACACTCTTATATCCACTGTTTTTTACGATGACCAGCAGCAGTACCTATTAAAGATAGTATTACTAGAACAGTGGCTCGCGGTTCGCCGAACGATTTGTAGCAAAATTTTGCCTTCCTTCGACTTTTGCTGCTTTTCGTGGACGCCAATCCGAATTAGGACTTTTCTGTTGTCTCACTGGATTACTAGAAATCTCGCGGTTTACAGAGATTGCATTTCACTCACAAGCTCATAGGTTGGAAGATCAATTTCGACGACAGTTAAAAGCCTCGCTCTCAGCTGTTGTACATATGCACTTCCACTCCTATTACTCGTTATTCACAGTGCGGTGAAAGCTGACGCTAAACGCATTGCAGCACAATTGGCTTTCGAGATGATGCCACGACTTGCAAAATTCATGCATCCTTCAATTTCTTCAACTATTACGTATATAAACTCCTTGTAGAATTATTGTCTAATTCGTTATTACTATTGCTTTATTAATAGACTTTAACCAAAAATTGTAGATTTATCATGATGTGACTACCAAATCTATAAAATCTTATATGGAATTCACATTTTTATCTTTATTAGCTCATCTTACCGTAATCATCGCCAATATATGATGAAGAACATATCTAGGCTGGAGATAGAACAATGTATATATTGATTGTTAATCATGGCCTTCTGCTCCTAACCCTCATTTTTAGTTCCCGAATCTCTCTAATGGTTAAAACCACATTATTCTTCCAAAGTGTCATGTCCTTTTATTTTTATTTTTCTTATTACAAGTAGACAGATAACTCACTAGTCTTATGGATGTTGATCAACTAAGGCGGATCAGATGAAGCGTAAATGTTCTTGTTATATCCCCTGGTGAATTATGAATCGTAAATCTGAGGTCTATTATCGACCAATGTATTATGCCTATTTCTTATTGTACAGTTGTTACGTAACTAAATTATTCATATTTGTGTTTCTCTTATCATTAGCTTTATTTTGATCTTTGATTTATTATCATACGATTCTTGAGTTATAATCAGTTTATTGATTACTTTGGTTTGTATAAAAACCCAGTATGTTTGTAAATAATGATTCATATTGCCGAGGCTGTTATTTGTGTTCTGGACTTAACGGGCTGGGCTAGGCAGATAGGAAGGACCGAATAGCACCCAAGACTGCTCGTACGTATTTCAAGTATCATTTGCATTCGATCAGTAAAATCCACTCCTCTCTAATTGCACGTTCATATATATTACGAGTCCATACGATATAACAGTTCTAAATTCTTGTCAGTTGCTCAATGTTTGTTTTTCTAACCCTGAAAATTCTACAATCGTCTACTCTCTCATATCCTTTGATTTACTGTCAGTTATTATAATCTCTTAGCCACATATCACCTGACCTGTCTCTTATAGCTTATACGATTAGTTATCTTCATAACAGTATGATATACTTTGTGAATGTCTAACCCATAATACAAATGCTTTAGCCACCTGATTTGCTTGAATCATGGAACTAGTATAAGCAGTGTGTTCCTACTATGGGCTTTGATTATTGCAATATTCATAGTGACCACAAACGTAAGAGAGCCTAACATCATAAAAGGAGGGAGGGTGGCGTTACTGACCAGCAAACATGATGGTGGGGATATAACTTTAATCTGTAGTCTGTAGGACAGAACACGTTAAATTACGGCTCCTTATGTCAAGTGTGATGTCACGAACCAACGGCATTGATGCGAAATTATTTAAAATACCTTTTTAAATCCTGTTTAGAACGCTGAATTGATTCCACTTCCTGCCGAGTGATCCTATTGCAAGCAAGCTAGACAATTGGCTAAAAACGAAGTCCACTCCATACCCTATAAAATCTAAAAACAAAAAGAGTTCAAACAGCCTCGAAAAAAGGGAGACGGCCATTTGTATCGGAATACTGTTTATAGCACTTTATTTTATAATTCAACAATTCCATACTTCTTTCTGAACTACCTTGATTCATACAGTTCCTTATCCACTCAAACCTTGTTCACACTTATTTTTCTTTAACACATTAGTATGCTCTTACCTAATAAGTACTTCAGTAACAGACAAATAGACTAAATAGTTATGCCTTAACTATTTCTCCATGAATATTGTGTGCTCTGTTTTTCGTCCTTCCTTTTTCTTACACCTTTTTCAGCCCACTGGAGATACCCCACCAAAAACAGATATAGCACGGGTGACCTCGTCCTACACCGTTATTAAAGCCTCAAATACTCCCGACGGATATAAGGTCGAAGCTTCTAAAAGCCCCACACTCCCCATGTATCTATTCTTGACCATCAGCCGTATGTTGCAACGCTACCTTTATAAAGTGCGCTAAGTGTGATATTGCCATATTTCTTACGAAATCCATTTACATTCATATCTTAAAAAATCAATTCAGCTGAGTAATTTTCTACAGTGAAAATTGTAACTTCTGTAACAATTTGATCTTGCCTGTAAACCGGCATGCCTCATGTAACAAACTGATATTTGAGAACAAATTATATTGATTATTATTATTATGATATTTCCTTCCAACTCGCCTTTTGACAATTCTGTTTCATTATGACGGCTTCTCCAAACCGCATTTTAATGACCCTCCAAAGTCAGCATTCATCGTCTTAGAACCACTTATTTAAAAGGGCACGCTACTAGCATAGAATGTTCTGCCGTACGCGGGAACGAAATGCGCCTCACATTCCGGACACCCCAACAATTACTGCGAGGCTACGCTGTCATCTGACAACCGGCACAAAACAAGTCATTCAGGGAGAAGGGTAAGGTTTCCAGAACACCTTATCTACGACCGCTAGTGGGATATTACTTAACTTTTTATTTCATCTCATTTGTTTGTATTATTGTGTCAAAAAACAAACACATATATGTGTATCCTTTGTTTTATTTAAAACGTTCAAAACGTCTATTGTGAAAAGCTTTTTCGCCATCTCATGTCATCTATACGCATATGTAATAATTTTTTCGCTTTTTCGTAAGTTTCGTTTCGTTACTCACTTAATAATGCACTTCGACATACATTCAAAGTACCGGCTGAAAAAGGTGAAAACCGAATTGGGATTACAATGAATAGAAATTTTAACCATACATTATTGTTCCATTTTTACACTGTTCCACAAGACCTCCTGTATTGGAGAAAACGACCAGATGCTACCAGACATAGCAAGCTATCAAGAGTGTTTACCAACAAAAAAATTTTTGGGTTTAAACTGCTGACTAACCACGTCTTACGGCCATCACTACCTGGCTAGTGATAGTGAGCAGTGGTGGTTTGTAAATCCCCAAATATATATCGTTCCGCAGGTTTTCGGCCTCGATGTTGACGTCATAAATCTCACTGGACATATTATGGATGAAGACGCTCGGTCATGTATCCACACCAGATCACGAGTGGGTACTTCATCATACGTATTCTTGTTAACTGTTAGTCAGATTAAAAAAGGCGCTCCTCAACATGCCGACAGTTTTCCAAATATATCTGAAAACCTCTTCAATTCTGACATGTGATTTGAAAGTATTGATATACTTTGATTGTAAAGTGACCACAATTAAATGCATTGTCAAACTCCGAATACTCATGGCACCTTTATAACAATTTACAATTTTAGTCCGTATACCCTCATCAGAACCGGAGACGATGAGATGAAAGACGATGAACGATCTATTTCAATAAAGACGAGTTTCTATGTCTCCGCATTTTCGACCTACAGAAATAACAGCATGTAAATTTTATACGGTCACGTAACTATTCAAAATATGCTTACTTTTTGTGTTTTTCGTGTCTGATTTCAATTAATTATTTATTCTGGATATTTGCTTCTCACTAAGCTAGTAACTGACTAGAATTTTTTGAGTTTGTTATAAGCATGTTCCTACATCACACTCTAACCGTAACACGCTTGTAACAAATAATGGAAAACTAGATACTGAACGCTATGTAATGAATGCAACTACAGAAGAAGCATGAGCATTCACTTTTTATGCCTCGAATTTTATATAAAAAAGTGAGTAAATGGACTTTTCACTACCTTCTGACAATCCGTTCAAATAAAGTTTGGGCACTACAGAAATTCAGATCCAGAAGAATATCTTTTGTTTCCGTTCTACGTACTTGCATATTTTTATTCTTTATTTCGCTTCTTTTTTCCACATCTTCACAAGTATGTATTTTTGTTCATACTAGCTTGTTATCAGAATATTGGACATTGTGAGCAAAAATTTAAACAATATTTCCAATTTCATAAGTTGTCGGGCTATTTTAGATAGTGATTTTACAGAGTAAGATGATTATATAATATGGTTGATTTTCGATGGTTGATATCTTCACAAGATGTTTTACGGCTTCTTATCTACTTTTTTTGGCTGTCAAGTGACATTATATATTTTGCTTTTAGTAGTTCTTTACTGTAGAAATTCTGGGAATTTTCCCCCCACCCGGGGAAATTTTGAGATTGTTGTGTCTTTTTTTACAAGTTTTTCTGTATTGACTTCCTCAAAAGTTTAAATGCACCTCAAAATGGAGAGATTGTGCTCCTGAAAATACAGAGATCTGCCGATCAGTATATAAAAGAGGATTCTCTCCACTAATTGTCACTCAATTCGCTCGTACTTTGTGGTTTGATTTCCAGAGTGCCATCGTAAAATTCTGTTCAGTGATGATTGCTCAGCTGATAAAATCTCGTAATTAGTAATCCCTGAATAATCATTAATCAATTGAATACCCAAGCAACCAGTAAAGGGGGAGAGAGAAAATATTCTTTTGAAAAATAGTGGGAAAAGGCGCCAGAATGTTTTCTTTTTCATTGTCGTGAGCAAATAATACGGAGTTCCTCCTTTTTGTCGCTGTGTTTGAAATGTCGCTAATTGTCTACTTTTTCGCTTGAATAAACTCTTGATTGTCTTTTTTTCGCCCAAATACTCATCTAACATTTTACTACACATTTTATTGTCCGCTTTTTGAATATCCTTGAATATCACCTACGTTCGTCCCAAATTCAATAAACCACACGACGACTGCAATCGTCTACGTTAGAAAAATGGTGCATATGAATGACAGTTATTGACAAGAAAAAAGTACCATAGTGTATAATGATAATAATAGTGGACAGACGCTCAATCAGTGATTGTTATATATTCTCATCGTCAGTGCCTAGTTGTTTTTCATTTACATATAAAGACAACAACCAATTTGTTAATGCACCTAATGATTATATATGTAGCTGCAAAACCTGAACTTCTGAGTTGCTCTTTTTGATGAAGTAACATGTAGTGTAAAATGTCTTGCAACTCCAGGTTTCATGACATGACGAAATATAACACATGGATGTTTTTGGATCATCATCCGTTACCGACGTCAGCATCGCCATCTGGGATAAGAATAAATAATTCAATGTAATTTCGTGACTTACAAATTTATACCTCACGTGTTCTTACTGAAGACATGTGTCCAACGTTCGCAGTTCCTCTTCACACGACAAAGTGAACTGCAAACTTAACAGTCCGATATCAAATTTCCGTGGATGTTCACACCCAACACTTACTTTTGTAAGCATCTGAATATCTACACAACCATTCATGAGGATAATATATAATTCAATTTTATCGAACTGTCTTTGTTTACCCCAGATTTGAAGAGTTTAACTACAGCTGATAGATAAAACTATGTGATTACTAATCATCATACTTTTAACTGATTCTCTCGTAAGATAAAGAACTATATATGTTATGTGTTCACTATTCACCTAAGAAATAGGGATGTATTATTTTCTAGATCACTTTGTCAATAAATGAACTTAAAATTTTAGTAATTTAAATTTTTGTGTCCAACTTTTTATGTAAATAAAAAAATAGTTACCAAAATTCATTTGAATTCTACTTTGGTGTATGTTATTAAAGCCAATGAATATCGAGATAATTATTGCTGCTATGTTTCACTCTTACTTGATTGATTTTAATCATATTTCCTTAATTTCTTCATGACCAAACCGGTACAGATTTTCATTTTGTATCTTTTCTATTCTTAAATAACATTTTTCTTAACACTGGGTAAAACAGCTTTGGGTCCACTGCATCTCACTAGGCATCACAATATTCCGAATGTGAATTACTAGTGAGTGTTAAAGTGCATAAAATCTAAATTTAGAGCTTTCTATTGACTTGATTTAACAGTCTAATAATTAGGGTTTCTGTTTTAACATATATTGTAGAACTTAGAAGTTCGTCTAGTTAACATTGTTTGATAAAATAATTCAATGGCAGTTACCTGGCTTCGAATAAATTTTATGATCTTGTTGGGGATGTCAAATCCCCAGAACTTACTTGGTAAATGGCCTAATCTTGTAGTTTTATTTTGAAAATTTGAATTTAGCTGTTTTCGCGCCAAAAGCGCTCTTTTACCTTCACGTCATATTTCCCACCTGTAAACTATCTTAACCGCTATTGGTCCTTTGTTTCTTTATGTGTGCTATTTACTAATGGTGCTCAAGGACAATTTGTTACTGTATAAATGCGCTTGACTTTTTCCCTTATTTGATTGCTTGTACTCGGCTGCTTACGGAATACATATATATTCCCCTACTTGCCTTGGACTTCTTCATCTAGTTAGCGGGGCCTGGGACAACAGATTAGAATAGCTTATCGTGTCATTGTGTCATTTGGTTTTCGTTCGTTACCGCGGAATCGATTTAGTTTCAGGCATAACAATTGGCGACGGTGGTTTGGAAACATGGATCCTTCTAAACTCGAATCATTACTTGAACAGCAGCTGAAGCTCATACAAATGCTGACAGACATGAAAGTTTCGCCCCCTTCACAGCCTAGCACAGCTAATGCAACCACAGCACCATCAGTAGACGGCGTCGCAAATAGTATTGCTGAGTTTCATTATGATCCTGATGCAAACGTTACTTTTGACATGTGGTTCCATCGTTATGAAGACCTATTTAAATTTGATTTTGCTAATCAAGATGATGCTTGGAAGGTACGACTGCTACTTCGGAAGTTGGGTGCAAGTGAGCTGGACAGGTACTGCAATTTGATCCTGCCATTGAATCCACGTGATCGCTCTTTCGCAGACACAGTCCAGACACTAAGCCTACATTTTGGGGACAATTCATCATTGTTTAACACCCGTTACCGATGTTTGAAGCTGGTTATGAACGAAGACGATGACTTCCTTACGCATGTGGGCATCGTTAACCGTGAATGCGAACGGTTCCGGTTAAAGTCTTTATCTGAAGACCAGTTCAAAGCCCTTATCCTCATTTGCAGCCTTCAGTCCCAGAAGTTCAGTGACATAAGAACGCGACTACTATGTCGATTGGACCAAGATCCAAAACTCACACTAAATGACATGGCTAATGAATATCAACGCCTAGTAAATCTACAACGAGACACGTCGATGGTTGAGAGTGGTGGGTCTAGTCGATCGGAAGTACGAGTAATCCAAAAGACAACTAACCAGAATCAGTGCGCTCCCGCTGCATTCAGTCCAACTCATTTCAGCCCAATTCGACAGACCAGAACAAATCCCTCCACTCCTTGCTGGCATTGTGGTGCATGGCACTACGTAAGGAATTGCCCATTTAAGCAACATCGATGCAGGAAGTGCAAGGTTGTTGGCCACAAGGACGGGTTTTGCCTTAAGAGCACACCAAATCGATCCAGTAATACCAAAAAGACGGTTCCAAAGCCCTGTACCTCTTCTTTGAGCTTGGTATCTTCTTGTCAGAGTTCATCACCAGGTGAGAGGAAATTCATTAACATTAATATTAATGGACATTTTTTTAGATTGCAAATAGATACCGCATCAGACGTCACCATCCTCTCTCACAAAAATTGGATCAAAATGGGTCGCCCAAGCCTGCAGCGAACAACTAAAAAGCCTCGTACCGCATGTGGTAATTTCCTACACTTAGAAGGACAATTGGAATGTAGAGTGACCTTCCGGGAGTCGTCATTTACCGGGGTATGTCATATAACTCCAGCTGATCTAAATTTACTTGGTTTAGATTGGTTCGATCAACTGAAATTGGCTGATGTCCCACTAAATACCATATGCCACATGATATCACAACCTCATGGCACTGAATCGTATACCAGGAAGCTAATGGCGCAGTTTTCATCGATTTTCCAGCCTGGTTTGGGACAGTGTTCTACCTTAAAAGCAACGCTTCGTTTGAAACCTGGAGCTAAGCCTGTCTTTCGTCCCAAAAGACCCGTGCCTTATGCGACGTTACCAACAGTAGATGAAGAATTAAACCGCCTCCAACAACAAGGAGTAATTACTCCCGTTTCTTACTCCGCCTGGGCAGCACCGATAGTGGTCATCAAGAAAGCAAACGGCACCTTACGAATATGTGCTGATTTTTCTACAGGTCTAAATGCAGCCCTTGAACAACACCACTATCCCTTACCAGTTCCGGCAGATTTGTTTACGATGCTGAATGGGGGAAAATTCTTCGCAAAACTGGATCTTGCTGATGCTTATTTGCAAGTTGAAGTAGACGAAGCATCTAGGGAGCTGCTTACTATCAACACTCACCTTGGGTTATTTCAGTACAACCGTTTACCATTCGGTGTCAAGACTGCACCATCTATTTTCCAACAATTAATGGATACTATCTTATCGGGCATCCCGGGAGTCGCGGCTTACCTTGACGACATTCTAATTGTTGCCGCAACGTTAGAACAGCTACATGAGCGAACGACATCGGTACTGAAACGCATTAGTGAAAACGGGTTCCGGTTACGACCTGAGAAATGCCAGTTTTTATTACGGTCCGTAAAGTATTTGGGGTTTATTTTTGATGCTGACGGCCGCAGACCGGATCCTGAAAATGTCCAAGCGATACGACAGATGCCCACACCCACGAATATCTCCGCACTGCGTTCCTTCATGGGACTGGTCTCTTACTATGCCGCGTTCGTCCCTTCAATGCATGACATTCGTGCCCCACTGAATGGCCTACTGAGCAAGAACAGTACGTGGAACTGGACTAAAGAGTGTGACGCAGCATTCTGTAAACTGAAGTCCATCATCAGCTCGAAATTGTTATTAACGCACTACGATCCATGCATGCCAATCATTGTAGCTGCAGATGCCTCAGCGTATGGCGTAGGAGCCGTCATTTCTCATCAGTTTCCAGACGCAACAGAGAAGGCTGTCATGCACGCATCCCGAACACTGACCCCGGCAGAAAGGAAGTATAGTCAGATAGAGAAGGAGGCTCTCGCCCTGGTGTTTGCGGTGCGGCGGTTCCGCAAATTTTTGTACGGTCGGAGGTTCACACTCCTTACGGATCACAAGCCCCTTCTCGCAATTTTTGGTTCGAAATCTGGCGTCCCGGCCCACTCTGCAAACCGTCTCCAATGATGGGCTTTGATCCTCTTGGGGTATGATTTTGACATTCAGTATCGACGCACCAAACAATTTGGTCAAGCAGACGCATTGTCACGACTCATCAACGAACACTCTACGACCGATGAAGATGCCGTTATCGCTTCTCTTTCGACAGAAGACCACGCGCAATGCTACCTGACAACCGCTGTTCGTGCTTTGCCAGTCTTAGAATCTGAGATACAAATTGCTTCCAGAAACGACCCCGTCATTAAGAAAACGATGAACTACGTCACCAATGGCTGGCCATCAACTGAACTTGACGGTAACATGAAGCAGCTTTACCATCGTCGTGACTCATTATGTGTCGTAAATGAATGCTTGATGTTTGGAGATAGAGTGGTCGTGCCAGAATCCCTACGACCGAGGGTGCTGAAGCAATTCCACATTGGTCATCCAGGCATAAAGCGTATGAAATCCATCGCCAGAAGCTATGCTTACTGGCCCCTCATGGACCAGCATATCGTGGATCTAGTAAACAAATGTGCTCAGTGTCAACAAGCTGCAAAGTCCAATGCGAAGGTACCGCCGGTCCCATGGCCACAGCCTGAGCATCCCTGGTCTAGGATACATATCGACTTTGCCGGTCCAGTCAACGGAACCACATATCTTGTCGTGGTCGACGCCTTCTCAAAATGGCCGGAGATTGTTCCCGTCACTCCACCAACGACCACCCAGACTCTGAAACATTTGACTGAGTTGTTCGCACGAAACGGATTACCGGAAGTGATTGTATCCGACAACGGTTCGCAGTTCGCCTCGGCGCAGTTCCAAGAGTTCTGCAAACGCCTAACCATCAGGCATCTTCGCGCCCCACCTTACCACCCACAATCGAATGGGCAAGCGGAAAGGTTCGTGGATACGTTCAAGAGGGCTCTGATTAAGTCAAAAGGGGAGGGGACGCCAGTGGAAACACTGCAGAATTTTTTATTTGCCTACAGAACGACCCCCAACGACACGCTGCCGGAGCAGAAGTCCCCCGCAGAGATCCTCATGGGAAGACGGCTGAGGACCATTCACAACTTGATGCTGCTGAAATCCACACCACCACTAATACAAACCACGTCCCGGAAGCTACCCACGTACAACGTTGGATGCCCAGTATTCGCTCGGGACTACAGAGCAAATCGTGACCCTTGGATCGAAGCACGTGTGGTTAGACGGATGGGAGAAGTCATGTATGAGGTTGAGGTAGGAACGGACAGATGGACCAGACATCGAAATCAACTACGCAAGCGGTTAACACCAGAGCGCCCATCGACCGAAGTAAAGATTCCGCTGGACGTACTATTGGATACATTTAATCTGCCGGCAGTCCCAACGCATGAAGAAGATCAAAAGGTCGATCTACGGTCCCGAAGATGGTCACTGCGCCAACGGCGACAGACAGTTAGAATGCAGGTGGACCCAAAGAATGTCCGTTACTAAAAAGGGGAGGTGTTGGGGATGTCAAATCCCCAGAACTTACTTGGTAAATGGCCTAATCTTGTAGTTTTATTTTGAAAATTTGAATTTAGCTGTTTTCGCGCCAAAAGCGCTCTTTTACCTTCACGTCATATTTCCCACCTGTAAACTATCTTAACCGCTATTGGTCCTTTGTTTCTTTATGTGTGCTATTTACTAATGGTGCTCAAGGACAATTTGTTACTGTATAAATGCGCTTGACTTTTTCCCTTATTTGATTGCTTGTACTCGGCTGCTTACGGAATACATATATATTCCCCTACTTGCCTTGGACTTCTTCATCTAGTTAGCGGGGCCTGGGACAACAGATTAGAATAGCTTATCGTGTCATTGTGTCATTTGGTTTTCGTTCGTTACCGCGGAATCGATTTAGTTTCAGGCATAACAGATCTTGTTCAATAGAATACGACTTCTACGGCCTTCACACTGTGACAATAACGTTCGATTAGTATGAGTAATCTAGCGTCCTTATTGGCCCTTATCCGCCTAACCCGTCCACTTGAGTCCAAAACACCAATAGCAGCCTCGGCAATACGAATCGTTTATTTCAAGCATACTTTTCTATATACCAGACAGGCAGACCACACCACACCATAAAATAGAAAATAATATTTGTACAAAACCAGGCCAAATGAGGCTGTAAGCGTGGGAGACAATAATCAATAAACTGAGTATAACTTAGGAACAGTAAATCATACAATAATAATCAATAGGTCAAAATGAAGCTTACAATAAAATGAATATAGATATAGATAATCTAGTTACCGAATAGTTATACAATAAGAATAATAGTCCAATAGTAGGTCCTGCAAGTTACCCGTATTTATGTCTTCGCTACTACATAACAGGATTACATTGAGTAACGATAAACAACATTCATTGTAATCCTTCCCTTTTTTTTTGGGATATACTTCGATGATCATGCAGCTATAAGTTTCCCTCTACTGAAAATGAAACTATTAAACTTGTATAGACATGAACTTATAAATCGTCTTTATGACAAACAATTATATTTTGCATTGAATGTGTAAGAAAGCTTTATTTACATGGAACTTAATTAACATTTGAAGAATGTTTAAAAAACGTAAACAGTGTGTTCCATTTTGACTTGTTCTACGATAATTACTCGGACTGATTCTATACTTATAAGATTCTTTGTTACTTAGCTTATTATTACCGACAAATTTTTTAGTAAAATTTAAAAGTTTGTCTTAAATCTGGTTGATATTTATGTTGAATCGTAAGTTTCACGGGTAAAACTCGTTTCAAAAAAAGAAATAAGTAATTTTGTAAATAATTCTGTGGAATTTAGAGGTAGTTATCCCTGAAAACTAACGTCAGCAAGAGGATTATCAATAACCATATATAACCATGGATCTGGTAAATTCTAAATAACAACCACAATTAGTTTATAATAATTAAACTAAAGTAGATTCTGTCACGAAATAAGTAGATTATATATGAGTTCTGAGTTTGAAAGCTATGTTTATTTAAAAGTAGTTTTACAAAGTAATAACCTAATAATATTGTCATTAGGACTACCGGTGGTAGTAATGCTAATAATAATGTTTGTCACTACTTCATTCAGATTATTCATTAATATAACATAAAGACTTGGTGATCACGTGTTGAGGTGTGTAAATAAAAATAACCAGACATAGACGGTGTAGTAGTGTAAAATTATAACTGTTAAAACAATAATAAATTAATAATGATCATTCTGGTACTCATGGACAGTTAAAACTCTACAAATACCAATGGCTTAAATACCTAACTAACCTTCCCTGAACTTGTTATATTAGAAATCAACTGTTTCTGTAAGAAAATTTCCGAAAGGAAAATTAACCATTTTTTGATAATATTGCAGTTCAATGAATGTCATTTATATTAATTACGTTATTAAATTTTTTAATAGGTCATTGTATCATGACAATCCGCAATCAGTTGTTAGTAAAATGTAGAATTTAGGGTTCAGGAGTTCTGTACAAAAATGATTGTAAGAGATTAATTTGTTGTTAGAATTTTATTTCAGTGAATAAAATGTATTGAAAATGTTTATATAATAACATGGTAGAATATTTACAGATGATGACTTACTTTTCTCATTCATTTTCAGACTAAACACAAAAAACATGCATTTATATTCGATGCTTAATTTAACGGAGGAAAAGAATTAGTAAGTCAAACATACAAAACACTTAGCCAGTTTCAAATGTTTTATGTTTTCAAATATGTAATCAATAATTACATTTGAAATGTGATGTTATTGTTCGTCAGGGACTGTTATCAGCAGAAAAAAAATAGTGGGTGTAAATGAATACAAAACTGTTATTTCGTTTTAACTCGAGCTCCATCAGAAGCAAGCAACCACTATTCCTCAATATATCTAAATTTTCAAACAAAAATACGGTTATCTCTTGATCAACATGTAATTAAAAAACTGAAATAGAAACAGATTTTGTGAAGCTGAATAGATTACTATTGAAAAGAACACTAATTAAAAGAACAATACATGACGGTTCTTTTTGCATAGAACCGGAAAAAGATGAAAGTAAAACAAGGTGCATATGTTATTGTCCACCTCTTTATTATTTGTCAGACGCATTCTTTCTTGAGAGAATTTTAAAGCAATAAAATATATTGTTTTTCATTTCACATTGAAAAAATACTCAATAGAATTATGGGAATTCTTGTCAAGTTTTTAATAATATCATAAAGTATATTAGATTCCATATCGTTTGTACTACATTTACTAAAAAAATGTTATTCACTTTTACCTTTTTATTTGTTCCATTATTAATATATACTATTATGTCTAAATGCCCAATTACTTATTTTCCACAGAAGTTGAATTTATTAGTGAAATTGACCACAGACTTTACGTAATGGCAACTGATGAATATATTTCCACTGGTATAGATAAAAAGCAGGTTGATAATAATGAAAATGAGAAGTTTATAGCAGCTATTGATCAAGGTACAAGTAGTTCAAGAGTGATTATATTTTCAATCAACAATGGAAGTATAATAGCTATGCATCAAATAAGTGTAACACAAAGTTATCCGTCACCTGGATGGATTGAAATGGATGCTAATCAGATTTATACAACAATTCTAGAATGTTTAAATAAATGCGTGGAACAATTAAAATCAGTAAATAAAAGTACCAAAGTAAGTGTATGTTAGAATTTATATAACTCGTTAATATGCTTCAATCTGTTCTATATATGATGTTTAACTAAATTCATTAGTGTGGTTCAAGTGTCTTAGCAGTACATAGAGTTAATTAACTATTAAACTTGATGTTAATCAACATTTGAAGGTATTATATTTTAGGTTTCCGTTGAATAAAATCTCTGTATTTTGTTTTCGTGACAATTTGTGCTAGTATTTAAAAACAACTTGTCATTTGAAGTTAAACTAATACTTGTTGTTAAATACTGTAGCTTAAACTTAGTTTGTGAACTATCGGCATGACTATTGCGTAACAACACTGATAATGTATGTATATGAATCAGTCATAGAATCACGTGAAATGTAATAAAGTATTGTACTTTATAAGCATTGTAGTACTTCAGTCAACTAAATGTGTCTCATTTCATTAAATTAGTAGATTTTATTATTGTTTGAAGAAAAATTTAGTTCCATACCGTGGTTAACTGGATTAGCGTTAAAAACCAAAGCTATTTCATCGTTTTGAAACTGATTAGAACAAAACTTTGAATTTACATGAGATCTTACCTAATATCTTTTTCTTGATCTATAAAGTCAACAAAGCTACGGTACACTGAATTGGGACCACAAGTTAAAGGAGCTTACTAGAGCTAAAAAGTGGTCATCAAATGCTAATTCAGTGGTACAACATAAATCGAGGCTATCGGGATGCCTGAATGTCGTGGGTTTGTACTTTCGGGTAATAATCTTAATTGCGAAGTACTTACTTACTTCCTTACTTTCGCCTGTTACTCCCAATGGAGCATAGGCCGCCGACCAGCATTCTCCAACCCACTCTGTCCTGGGCCTTCTTTTCTAATTCTATCCAGTTCTTGTTCATTCTTCTCATGTCTGTCTCTATTTCTCGGCGTAATGTGTTCTTTGGTCTTCCTCTTCTCCTTTGACCTTCAGGATTCCATGTGAGGGCTTGTCTTGTGACGCAATTAGCTGATTTCCTCAAAGTGTTTCCAATCCACTTACAGCGCTTCCTCCTGATTTCTTCCTCCGCTGGAATCTGATTTGTTCTCTCCCACAGTAACTTGTTGCTGATAGTGTCTGGCCATCGGATCCGAATTATCTTGCGTAGACAACTGTTAATAAACACTTGTATCTTCTGGATAATGGCTTTCGTAGTTCTCCACGTCTTCGTGCCATACAGTAGAACTGTCTTGACATTTGTATTGAAAATTCTAACCTTGGTGTTGGTTGACGATTGTTTTGAGCTCCAGATGTTTTTCAGTTGTAAGTATGCTGCTCTTGCTTTGCCGATCCTCGCCCTCACATCTGCATCAGATCCACCGTGTTCATCAATGATGCTGCCCAGATATGTAAAGGTTTCCACATCCTCCAAAGCTTCTCCGTCAAGTGTAATTTGATTGGTGCATATTGTGTTGTATCGGAGAGTCTTGGTTTTCCCTTTGTTTATATTGAGACCTACTGCTGCTGAGGCTGCTGCTACACTGGTCGTTTTCTCCTGCATTTGTTGTTGCGTTTGTGATAAAAGAGCCAGATCATCCGCGAAGTCTAGATCGTCAAGCTGCATCCTGCCTGTCCACTGTATCCCGTGCATTCCTCCAGATGTTGACGTCTTCATGATCCAGTCGATCACCAGGAGAAAGAGAAAGGGTGAGAGTAAGCAACCTTGCCTAACACCGGTCTTTACCTCGAACGAGTCGGTGAGTTGTCCTCCGTGGACGATTTGGCAGTTTAGTCCATCATAGGAGTTCCGTATGATGTTGACTATCTTCTCAGGCACGCCGTAGTGTTGAAGAAGCCTCCATAGTGTCGTCCTGTCCACGCTATCAAATGCCTTCTCGTAGTCGATGAAGTTGATGTCGAGTGATGAATTCCATTCGATTGATTGTTCCACAATGATACGTAGAGTTGCGATTTGATCTGTGCACGATCTATCCTTACGAAATCCAGCTTGTTGATCTCGAAGTTGGGCGTCCACGGAATCCTTCATCCTGTTTAACAATACTCGGTTGACGACTTTTCCTAGTATTGAGAGAAGAGTGATGCCCCTGTAGTTGTCGCACTTGCTGAGATCGCCTTTCTTTGGTATCTTGATCAGAAGTCCTTTTTTTCCAGTCTTTTGGTACTTGTTCTTCATATCAAATCTTACTGAAGAGGATGTGGAATATCTTGGCAGTTGCTGTTACATTTGCTTTCAGTGCCTCTGCCGGGATGTTGTCTGGTCCCGCTGCTTTGCCGCTCTTGATTTGTCTAATGGCCATGCTGATCTCTTCAATTGTTGGTGGGCCAATATCGATTGGGAGGTCCATGGGTGCTGCTTCGATGTTGGGTGGGTTCAGTGGGGCTGGTCGATTCAAGAGTTCTTTGAAGTGTTCTACCCACCTGTTTCGTTGTTCTTCAATGTCGGTGATTACTTTGCCTTCCTTGTTTTTCACTGGTCTTTCTGGTTTACGGTAATTTCCAGCAAGTTTCTTTGTTGTATCAGACAGTTGTCTCATGTTTCCCTCTCTTGCAGCCTTTTCCGCTGTCATCGCTAAATCTTCCACATATTTACGTTTGTCGGTTCTGATGCTCCTCTTCACTTGCTTGTTTGCCTCTGTGTATTCGGCTTGTGCCTTGGCTTTTTCTGTTCTTGTTCGACTGATATTGATTGCTGCCTTCTTGTTCCTTCTTTCTTCAATTTTATCCAGTGTACCAACAGTGATCCATTCCTTGTGATGGTGCTTCTTTTGGCCCAGAACCTCCTGACATGTTGAAACGATTGTCTCCTTGATACTTTTCCAGTTGCTCTCCATGGTAGTTCCCTCTCCATTGAGTAGATCATGAAAGGCCTGGAACTTGTTGCTGAGGGCTATGTTGAATTTGTTGAGTTTGTCAGCATCTCGAAGAAAGGCCGTATTAAACTTTTGTGATGTTGTACGCACCGTTGTCCAGTGCTTCTTGAGTTTTAGTTTCATCTTGGCGACCAGCAAATGATGATCGGATGCTATATCAGACCTGAATTATTATGTGGCAACTGTTCTGTACTTCGTCTTTTTAAATAGTTCTCCAGCTAATGTCAGTCTGTGATATAAGCTATCCTCGATGTAATCGAGAATAAGGATATACTCTACTTTTTATAGGTAAAGGGTACAAAGTCCAAACCAAAGAAATTCCTATAATAAATTAAGAAATGGGGAAAATGTTAATTCTGCTTTTTTGTTAGCAGTAAATAAACAGTTTGCTTTATAAACGATGACTGATGGCACTATGGTCTATTTGAGTCTATCATTGGTTTGGTGCAGGTGGTCGCCATGTTAGATGGTGTCTCTCCTTATGCTTAAAATTAGTGTTTGCTAAAAATAAACAATTGTCTAAGTGTAGTTGCAACAGACGATCACCATTATCTGTTTGCTCAGCCGGAATACTAAAATACCCACCTTAATGTCTTTCTGATTTGTTTAAGCCACCTAATTGGGCATTAAAGTCGCCTACTATGAGTACTATGTCTGATTGTTTAGTTTTTTGAAGAAGTTTAGAAAGCTTTCCATAAAAGTCATCTTCTAATTCATTCGGGCTGCAGTCAGTGGGAACTTAGGCAGAAACGACGAAAAGGCAATGACGCGTGTCCCTATCCTTCTGAGTTCTTACGGAGCCCTTTAGCCGAACAGCACATAGGTGACTGTTAATGGGGATCCATTCTAATAGTGCCTGTTATGCACTCCTACTAAGTGCTATGTATGCACCCGCCAGTCCACGAGGATTCGCCATCATCGCCAGATACACGGAGGGTGTATCTCGTCGGCTCTCCATTTTGGCGAGGTGAGGTCAAGTTGGTAACTACACTACGATCCTGTATGCGTGTTTCGGAGACACGGCATACATCAATCGTACGAGATTCTAGGGTCTAAGTCGAGGAGGCCTATTGGCCGATTTGACACAGAGTGAGTGTGTTGAATACTTCGATGTGTAGTTTAGAGCGAGGTCTCAGAAGATCTGAGACAGTATTTCGCCCACTAGAATCATTGGCCATAATGGCACTTGAGGATAAAGTTTAGAGTTAATAGTCGAGGTAGGAGGAATAATAGGAGTTGAGGAAGGAGATTGATTATGAATACAGTGATCTTGAGTGCTGTTAGAAGTATGAGGGCGGTTATCACTTCCCGGTTGCCCACACCGTGAAAGGACTCTTGTAGAGGTACCTGAAAAGTAAATTGGCTTAGAACTGGACAAAGTGACATGAGAGTGTGACCACAGTGCCTAAGGGACAACTGTGTTTAAGGCCGGTCACACGACCCTTTTGTGGATAATTTTTGTGTTATCTCCGTACTTGTTGGGACCTTATCGCCGGAGACGGAAATCCGTAGGATACGGTGAGGTGTGCATTTTTAGGGTCGACCATTTCTAGCCCCACTCCTTCTTGTGGGAAGACAGCATCGCTGTTATGCTGGTTGTCTGAAGGAAACACAGTCAGCAGTACGACTTCGTCTTCGGACCTTGGGTTTGCTGCTTTTAGTCTTACCGTTCTTTAACCGACCTGTCTGGTATGGTAGGAACTGGAGAAACGATTGTTCCAGCCAGTATAGCTCGATTTGTTCATTATGATAGGCAAGCCCGAGGTAGCAGCAACGGTCGGGCTGATGGAGAATGCTGGTGAGCGGCCTATGCCCCTCCATGATGGGTAAGATGCGTAAGAAAGTAATTGTGCAAAGTAACAACTGGAAACTATGTTTTTCTGTCGACATCCTCAAATCATGAATTTATTCACTACATTAAATATAGATAATTTCATAGAAATCATAAACCGATCTAATTTAGACCAATATTGAAAACCGGGTGTTCGATGTTGGTCTTAGATAAAAAAAATAGTGATAAATAAACACGAGATAGTTAATGATTGCTAATTAATATATTATCTCTATAATGAATACAGAATAACACTAGTAAATGCTCGGAAACTTGCGTGATGAAAATATTTTATTATTGGATGCCTTATTTATGTTAATGGGCTGGATGTTAATTCTAGACTTTTTAAATCAGAAATTCCAATCATATGTTATTTATTATGATTTCTGTAGAACAAAAAAACAAATTTACCAGTTACGCTTATTCATTTTTTTGGATACGGTCGATAGTCCATCCAGATTTCCACTTTCATGAACACTAGAAAATAAAATGTATGGTTACAATTATATTTTATTATTTTGACATATAAATCACGTGATTATATATAGTGTAAATACCGAATTATAACAATAGAATTTGTAATTTATATTATATATATATAACCAATGCAAACTCACCATAAAAGTGAATAATCGCTTAGCAAGTCAAATAAAAGCTTACAATTGATACTATGATAAAAATGCACTGAACTTACTCATTAAAAGTATGCAATTCAGTTCATCGAAGAATAACTACCCCGCTTTCATATACACCCTTATCTCATATTCTCGGAACAAAATTTATAAAAAATCTACAGAGAAAAATGGATATTGTAGGAATTTATTAGTTCAAGAACTAACTAATTGTGCCGTTTCATCTAACCATATGGTTTATTTTTGTAATAAATTTCATTTCTGTGTGTATTATACATTTTTTATCGGCTAGAATTTGTCCAAATGTTTGTAGAATTACAGATCTACTTATAGCTTTTATTACCACAAAGCTATTCTATGTTTGGTTGTCTTGTTATTTATTATTAGTAACATCTGTATTATACTTGTTTATAGACATAACAATGAAGATAATTGGATAGGAATATTTATTCGTTTAATTTATATTTTTAACTATATGTATATATATGTAGTTGATATATTATTGATATGTGTCAAACACTTGAAATGGTTAAACTCCACTGGTTACGGACTCACTAGAATTTCTTACATTACTTTTCAAAGTTAGTTATTAATAGACAACAGATGAATTTCTAGTTTAAAAGATTGTGGAAGTTGTTGAATATAGTAGTTGTATCAAAGTTAATCATCGGCATAAAGGCTATAAAATTCAACAATCTTCAATGACCTATATATTAGAAAATGTAAACCTTAGTGGAATAAAAACTATTAAAATGATTTCTCCATACATTTGAACAGATATATTATTTTATAAAATACTAAGCAATAATAATTACTGTCTGAAGATGTTATTTTTAATCAAATTAAATTTTATAAATAATTTCTGATTTTATAATGAATTAGTCTAGTAGTAAATTTGTGAATTTCGAAAAGTAAACTATATTACAAAATAGAAATTAACTAATTGAGCTAGTGAAATAATAGTAATAACGATAATAATAATAATCATTATTATTATACACCATAGATGTTGATGTTTCTCATGGTAATTGCTATAATGCTTATACTCAACAGTTGTTACTGCCTTTAGAATCTATCATAAGGTTTTTTTTACAAACGAATTTATTTATTTAAACATATAAATATTGGTACGAAGGGGGAACCAGATGTATATGTACCACAGAAATCTCATTTGATTTATGTGAGGGTTGTGATACTGCCCAGGTGCCCAATATGAAGCAGGTGATTTTCTTAGGGAGCCACACCCGAAGCCTTTGACCTAAAGGTCTCATCCACAAGGCAGTGAAGTATCGTAAGAAGATGTAGTCCCATGGTAGCCGTTGACCAACGATTGATTCATACGCCATTTGTTCTCTCAGGATAGTGGAGCTCATGAGCACCATTGGTTTGGAATCAGGGTTTTCCAACTCCTGTAGGTGAATTTTCCGTGTCCACCAACCCGGTTAAAGCGCCGGACATTCGCTTTCCGTCCTCTGAATTTCGTAAACAACACCGATGTCACGATAAGGCAATGAGTAGGACTTCCCTTGCAGAGGCTATATACGTGTGGCCATGTGAGAGCATTTCGAGAGGGTGAGCGGACTATCCAGACTTTCGGCCGTACCAGAGCATTCGTAGGCAAACGAGTAAAATAAATTCAACTCATAAAAACAAATAATCACATTTTATTGGTCACATATATTCACCTACTTGATATTATGTATATATGTTCATCATTGACTAATATTTAAAGGTCGTTTGTTCAATGTTAATTTGTAATTTTTTAACAAAATGAAAATAGTTTCGTACATAAATTTTCTTTGACAATTAATGGAAATTACTTCATTCATTTTTAATAAAATGTATTTCGTTTTATTATGCTTCATTGTATAGTCTGATAAACATTATAAAACAGCGTACACATTAGAATTGATGAAATTCACTTTGGAATTAATTAAGAGGCTCTGGCTCGTAACTGGTAGGTCCTGTGTTCGAATCTCGCGAGTGCGGGATCGTGGATGCGCACTGCTGAGGAGTCCCATAATGGGACGAAACGGCCATCCAGTGCTTCCAGGTTTTCGATGATGGTCTAGCTTCAATTGACTCATCATTTCAACTTTGAAATATACTGAAATCTCCATAAATCCTCTTCTGATTAAGATAGAATGGTTATTAACATTTAATTATATTATTCAACAAATGAATGTAACTAAAATTTATCATAAGAGTAGTTTAAGCTATATTATAATATCATGTTATACCATAATTAAATCTGTATTTTTACTATTATTTTCAAAGAAAAATAAAACGTAGTGATTGTACAGTTGTGACAGCTGGCCTTATGTAGAGTTTCAGGATAGACCAATTTATTCATTCTTCTTAAATCTCTTTTGATCCTGTTAATTATTCTCTTTTCCTCACCTCAATTTGATTCGATTTGACTATATAGTTAAATAGTGAATATAAATGGAATATGTGAATAAGGATGTTTTACACCTGATCAACATTTTTACTAAGAGACTATATATTTCGGGCCAATCCTTTATTGAAGAAAGATGTTTTCTATAATGTTTGGTTAATTATATTTCAAAGAAATATTTATAACTCTCTTCCTTCATATTTCAATCAATAAAACACAACACAGAGAAATTTCAAATAACAATGTATAAGACAACAAATTGTTTCTATCATCTATTTTCAGGATATTGTTGGTGTTGGTATTACAAATCAACGTGAAACGACTATTGCATGGAATAGTGAAACAGGTGAACCATTAGCTCCAGCTATTGTTTGGTCTGATGCAAGAACTGCTGATGATGTTAAAAAATTTATACGAATAGCTCCTGGTAATAAATCAAATGCTTTTCAGGTAGATAAATAAAAATTGAACATATTTTAAAATTTTATTTGTTTTAAATAATTTCTTTTACACATCAACTGATGATGAAATCCAAGGTATAACCTTTGTCTTGTTCGTAAGTCGTCAGTTGTGAATACACTTATACTTCAGTATTGATATTCTCAGAGAGATCTACTCTAAGTATCCATTTAGTTGAACAAGTAAATTTATCTATTAGATTACTAATAAACTACATTGATCAGTTTGTTCTTTTAAACGATCGATATGCTCTTTTTTAAATGATTCTATAATTTTTCCATAACATCTGTTCATGTAAACTTTCTAAACTATTATTTAGTATTTCCCTAGACTTATAAGATAGTTTAAATTTTGATAAAGTAACATCAGGTTGTGATGAACAAATGAGATAACATCACTGACTGATTGATTGAAAATATACTAAAGAATTAGAACATTCATCTATATATGAACCTATGAATAACTTATCACAAAGTAAATGATAAATTGAGAATAAAATATACAAATTAACCAGTTACCTTTCATAATTCTATTCGTTTTCCGTCTGTAATTCCGCATTCTTTTTTGGTATATATGTGAATCCTGTGCGGGTTGCTTTAGCATTACCGTTAAATCATAAAGATTTTAAACGGCAACGGACTGTGGATAACAGTGGAATTCAAAACACGCTTTCCGTCCTATATGGGACTCGTCAGCTGGATATGCCTGAATAGCTATTGTAAAACAATGACACTTTGTCACATATTATCACTGTCTTTCATTTGTTTATCTTCTTAAGAAGAACTCTTCAATGTTAGTATCAACAATTGTTGTTTTTCGTTGCCGTGTTACATATTAGTTTTGCCGTCTGCAACGAATTAATTATGTAGACCTACTTAGTGTGTTTAAATGAAATTATGACGAATATAGTAAGTGTCATTTCATAAAATACATAAATTCTAGCATCAGTACTTATGAACATGAACTGCAAACAATTTTATTAGTATTTATAGATGAAAATTTAGTGAAAAATGGACTATTATAGTTTGGTTTATTTGGTCATAACTTCCAGGGCTTGGTTTTTTCTTTAAATCGATCCATTTTATGTGTGTTGCTAGTAGACTAGTGGTTAACGTTTGCATCTATTACCTCACATTTAGTTCTTCGGCTTGAGTAAGTATATAAATGACCTTCAACCTTTGCATTGAAGCTTAATCTGTCTTAAATATTCGTGAGCACGCCAAAGATTAAACTAGATTTTAACTGAATTTGTTTGTTGTACGTTTTCTTTTAAATTATTGTAGGATTTATTTTATGGATTTTTGCTAAAACAAAAAAATTTTAACTTTAAAGATTATATACTCACATTTATCGTTTGTTAAATTAAGGCTTGTTGTTTGAATAAATGTTGGATCGCCATGGGTTTTCTGACATTTCTTGAACTGAGATTTAAGGTCATTTGCATTTCTTTCTAGTTTGCATCTTAATTATGTTGATTTCAGTGATGCAGGATAAGTTTTTTCATGATTAGATACTTTATGGATATCAGGTGTACAAATCAACTGAAGTAGTGATAACAAACTAAAGGGAAGTGCTCAGTCGAAAAGTTTAGCCTAAAATCAACTACCTAAATTTTGTAACAACGAATATTGCGAATGTTTAAACCGTTGGTTCTAACTAACTATCGTTATGCGTTTAACCATCCCTTAATTATGGCTAATTGATTGAGAACTGTTTGTTCCACCCTCCACCATATATGGTATGATTGCATTTAAAGTGTAATTTCTTATTTGGGGTGTTGTTTGGTCAGGTATTTTCAGTATATTATTGTATTGAGTACAATAAAGGGCGAATCTGCCTCCTATCACCGCCTTCTGGTTAACTGTAAGGTTAAAAGTGGTCTCGAGAAGCGATTAGACATTAGTGTTTTGGTTTTCGTGCTATGTTCATTGTGTAAAGCCCGTGAACTCGGGCACTAGTCGGATTAGCAATATCCTCAAAATTTCACTCGGAGATAGTTCACATAGTCTCTGTGTCAAACGAAATTAAAAACGGTTAATTCAATAGTTATAAATCAGAAATAAGTTAGGTGGTAAAACGTCAAAGGTTTTGGTTTTTTATCAGATATTTAGCCTAAAAGGAAAAAAAATTAACCAACCATTGCATCCTCTAATCTTTAGTGACGAGAGAAGCATATAAAGTTACCGAGAATGCTAATAAAAACTGAAATTCAGGTATCAATTAACTTTTCGAGAATATCTATGACGTAAAATAAACTTGATTTTCTTTTGTTGTAGTTGTATAATTACTTGCGTAAAGACCAAAAGTGTTTCCTTAAAAAAACCTGTAAACAGGTTTCTATTCGCATAGACCATTCAATAAATTACCAAACAATACATTTAAAGTTGTTTTATTAAAACTAGAAATCAATCAAAACGAATGGAGGAATAATGTACATGATCACTATTGAAACATTTCTTAATGAGATTAAATATCTGTCCAATACTTCGTGTTTTTTAGTGATTAAGTAAGCAAAGTTAGTCCATCATATGAAATTTCTAAAATATATATCATTAAAAACTTTATTTGTAAAATATTACGTTTGATTAACAACAGAAATAAAGATAAGTAGTATGTTTAAGTTAATAGTGATTTTATGATATCATGGAAATCCTACTCACTGCCTTATCGTGACACCGGTGTTGTTTACGAAATTCAGAGGACGAAAAGCGAATGTCCGGCGCTTTAACCGGGTTGGTGGACACGGAAAATTCACCTACAGGAGTTGGAAAACCCTGATTCCAAACCAATGGTGCTCATGAGCTCCACTATCCTGAGAGAACAAATGGCGTATGAATCAATCGTTGGTCAACGGCTACCATGGGACTACATCTTCTTACGATACTTCACTGCCTTGTGGATGAGACCTTTAGGTCAAAGGCTCCGAGTGTAGCCCCTTAAGAAAATCACCTGCTTCATATTGGGCACCTGGGCAGTATCACAACCCTCACATAAATCAAATGAGATTTCTGTGGTACATATATATCTGGTTCCCCCTGTGTACTAATATTTAGGTGTTTAAATAAATAAATGAATCAACTTAATTACTCGAATTATCACAATAGACAAGTAATTAAAACATGTTTAAAAGTAGAAAAATTAGATTTTCTCACGTTTCGTGACTCGGTGTAAGCCACTTCTTCAGAGTTAATAAATAACCAAATTAACATGTTTAAAAATAATTTTTTTGATTACTTAATATTCTATTTCTTTTTTTACAAAACAATCGTAAATTCACCATATATTTTGAATTCATTAAATCTTTAAATTCACTTGGTATTGTTTGTTTGAATATTCCCATCGATTTTGTTAGGACCGCAACTGGTCAGTCTCTAATTGGCATAATTGCATACTGTGCTTATTGCCTCGATATACCTTAATTAGAGACTGACCAGTTGCAGTCTTAACAAAATCGATGAGAAGAATCAAACACAATACCAAGTGAATTTAAACTTCACCCCATCGCACAAGCAAGTGGCTATCAGGACTCAGTGGCCGAGTGGATAACGCGATGGCGTTTGAAGCGAGGGTACGGGGTTCGAGTCTCAGAGTTAACATCAACTCTGAGATGCAGCTACATCCAGCTGACGAGTCCCAAATAGGACGAAACGCGCGTCCTGGATTCCACTGCTAGCCACTGTCCATCTCTGCTAATCATTCAATCTTTGCTATTCTAAACTTATATCTGTAAAAGTTTTATATAGTTAGTTATATTTCATATTCATTTATTTTATTTAAAGAATAACTTGTCAACTTGTTTTGAAAATCGAATGTATGTATGTCAGCAAATAAGTGTAATATTTTAAATTATTATTTTGCAAATGTTGTGACTTTATTAAAGGCCGTTGCCAATTTGTTATTACTGTTAAATAAGAAGACTGTATACCAATTTGTTGTGGTCTTATGTTCGGAGTTTTTGTCACCTGATTTATCCATCAATTGGAATACGACTTGTCTAATCTTAACACTGTGCCCAATCAATGACGTTCAACCAGTATGAGCAGTTTAGCGTCCTTATTGGTCCCTTGTCCGCCTAGCCCTTCCAAATGAATCCAGAACATCAATTACAACTTCTGCTATGCAAATCATTTGTTTCAAAAATACTTGGCTTATATACCAGACAAACAGACCGCATCACAAGATCATGCCAAATGTGGCTGTGAATATGGGATACAGTAATCAATAAACTGAACATAATTTGGGAACAGTAAATCGTACAGTTATAATTCATAGGTCAAAATGAAGCTTATGATAAGATGAATATGGTTATACACAATCTAGTTACTCAATAGTTAAACAATAAGAATATTTATAAAGAATATTCGTCCACTAATAGGTCCCGGAAGTTACCGTACTCATGTCTTCGCTAGGATATAACAGTTAATATCCTTACTTTGGAATATTGATGAAACCTAAAATTTCAAAACTCTCATCATGATTGAAGGCCTGCTTGAATATCTGGGCTACCTGTTCCTGCCATCTAGGTATTTCAACAAGTTATCTGCTTTTGTTTGTTTTCACATATCATTATGTCTATTAATCATATAACTTATTCAGTCGCGTTTATAAAAAGTTCACAACCTTTTGCTGTACAAGTTACAATAAAGTACAATCAAAGACATCGTGGTGGCTGGTAATTTGCATTCAGGTGTCGATTCCTGACTTGCTAACATCTAACTGGCGATCACTCAGTATTTTTTCGTCAGGATAGGTCAGGAAATAAGAAAAAGAAACTTGTTAAAATACTTTGTGCTGAGAATTCTATACTGTACCAAAAATAGAATATTGAATAAAGCTATTAATAATAATAATAATAATACAAACTTTGATAATAATTGTTTATTATTGTCTCTAACACTAGAAATGATGGATTTTGCCATTCGAAAAACAAATTTCAATTTTATTTAATTCCATCTTTTAAAAAGTTGAAATATCTTGTTCATTGGTTACTTTAAATGATTTCAAAATATCTTCACCTTCAACACAAATTTATTGTCATGATTGTAGCACTTATGTATTTCATTTTTCTTGATTGACTCTCCAAGCTGTAAATTTATAATCAAATTAGAAGGTAAATATGAATACAGTGTTGATGTCCACATTTGGGCTCAAAACTGTTATCAGTGTGAATGTCAGCAATCGGACGGCGGTGCATCTAACTTTTGAGTCTCAGAGTGATCAAAACGTGAGTCTTAGATTCCTGAGTTAACCACAATCTATCTATTCTATAATAATTATTCATTTTGAAAACCTATAGAAATACATGTACATTTTTTCATTTCCTTCTCTAGCTTATTACAGGTTTACCGATACATAGTTATTTCTCAGCTTTAAAAATGAATTGGTTATTAAATAATGTCAAGTCCGTGGCTGAAGCAGATGAAGGAAATAAATTGTTATTTGGTACAGTTGACTCATGGCTGATATGGAAATTAACTAGTCAGATGTGTCATGTTACTGATGTAACGAATGCAAGCCGTACACTACTATTTAATTTGAATACATTAGAGTGGGATCATGATCTGTGCAAGTAAGCGTGAAACACTTTTTACTGTTCATAATGTAGACATTCATTTGAAATGTTAAGCTAAAAAATTACTATCATTATATTTTTTGACCTGAATACTATGATAGAATAGGGTTTGAACTTAAGGCCTTCGTTCTTAATGTCGAGTAATTTATTCATTAGGTCCTCAGATTTAGTCTAGCAAATAATAATTATTCAATGTTATTATTATTCATACATGATTATTTGACGAATTATGTAGTTGCACAAATCTGCTCACTTGTGCATAAATTGATGGACCATTAGTTTTCTTAACATTTAATAGCACACTGTTTTATACCTAGGTTTCACATCAACAGGCAATATAGTTGTGATTATATGTATTTTTTTGGAAGCTTGAATTAAACTGGGTTTCATAGATTGCTACTATACTGACGTATGTGCTTAAGTCTAAGAAGTTATATAGTATCGTATTCTAGGAATTTTACACTATATATATATATAATTCATAGCGCAGTACACCATTTCAAACCAGTATTCATTGGACATTCATTACGTCCTGCTGTAGAGCTTCTCATCGCTGTTCATCCATAACCGCATTGGGAATTAAATCTGGGACCTTCGGTTTGACGATGAGCTTTTAGCTTCTATATAAATGAGCTGGCAATTCCTGAAGTTCTAATACGAAGCCATGATTAGATGATTTCGGCCATATCCGGTGTAAGACAGCTGTCCACAGGATGCAATCGAGGACAGTTTCAAATCGATTAAAGTTATAAATTTACACCATTGGATACTGGCTCAGTGGTCTACAGATTTAAAGCTCACTCTGAGACCGAAGGTCCTGCATTCAGTCCGTGGTAGGATCATGGATACACACCGATGAAAGGCTATATACAAGGACGAGATGACTGTTCGATGCTTCCTGGTTCCTGATCGTTTCTTTAGATCAGTTTTTAATTTAAATATATAAAATTCAGTAGTTTTCATATAATTCCTCACGTCAGTTGGAAAGTGGTTACACTTACATTCATTTTGTTCATTTAATTACAGATTTTTTCATATTAATCCGCGTACACTTCCAAAAATAGTAACATCATCTGAATTAATCGGTGTTATTCAAGATTCAAAATGTTTAATGAAAGGCATTCCTATTTATGGGATATTAGGTGATCAACAAGCATCACTTGTTGCACAAACATGGGGACTGTCTAGTTCTGTAAATGAAAATAATTTATCAGATATATCCAAGGTTAAAGTGACGTATGGAACTGGAGCATTTATGCTATGGAATATTGGTTGTCAACCATATTTTTCAGATAAAGGTGTTCTAACCACAATAGCTTATAAAATGGGTTCAAAAGGAAGACCATATTATGCTTTAGAGGTAGGTTCACAATAAGATGATAAGTGGTTATGGTCACTTTAATTATACTAATTTCGTTATTTTTTAGAACAAAGGACGTTAGAAACATTTTTTGGTAAGTGATTATTCGTTAGAAAGTTGTTTTCTATTGGAAAGTACACGTATAAATTCAGTGCATCTCATCCATCCTGATCTGAGATGAAGTGAATGACCGAATTTCGACCATTTTCTTCAAAATAAATATATTTTTAGGATTTTTGATTATTTTATTGCATGACTGTTTGTAGTCACAATTGTACCATTTATAAACAAACACAAGATGATTGTTTATAACTTGTGTCATTTGCATAGTTTATTCGTCAACCTGGGTTCGCATTTCGCGAGGCGGGATCGTGGATGCGCAGCACTGAGGAGTCCCACAATAAGACAAATCGGCCGTCCAGTGCTCACATTTTTTTCATGGGGGTCTAGCTTCAAATGACTCATGATCTCAACTATTAAAAAAAGATATTTATTTAACAAAATCTACCTACGTTTACTACTATATAGACAAATCTTTCTAGTAGGTGATTGTAGAAAATTAACAGAATCACATAATAATTGGACGAAGATGGTCACTGATTATGGTGTTGTCTTTTTTTTCTTTATGACTGTTTGTTTGTTAACTAAGCGGTAAGTTACAGTTACTTAATTTTGCTTGATTATTGCGTACCTGATACTGAAATCGTTAACCAATCAGTTTTAGAGCAACATTAAAAGCCTGAAAGTACTGGACGGCCGTATTATCCTAGAATGGAACTCGTCAACAGTATGCATCCACTATCCCACGCGCAAGACCCAAGGTCCGAGGTTTGATCTCGCGTGTGGGGTTGTGGGTACGCATTACTGAGTGCTCCATACTAGGATAAGGCGGGTGCCTACTGCTTTCAGGTTTTCAATGGTGGTCTAATGTTGGTCGGTTTATGATTTTAATAAAGCTCAACAATCCACACAATCCTATACTGTTAGATAAATAATAGCTTGAATTTTTATATTCAGTCATTCAGGCAGGGTTTCTGTTTCGGGAATGTTATCTTTCTGGAATTTGTGGATTTATTTCACAAGAAATCACCTCTTATTCATCTTAGTATTTTTATTAAATTGATAACGGTAAAAAAGTTTTGCATTAACTCCGAATAATAACTACAACAAATTTTTTTAAAATTACCACTGACACTTGAACAATACTGTTTTCATACTTATTGGTATAAATCAAATCTGAAGTCTTTCTGTAAAAGTTTTCATTGTAAAGATATATACAAATGATATTCTTTTTTTACGGAAATTCAATTGTTTTTGTATTGAAAACAAAATGTGAATTAAATACAGTTGAAAGTAAGGTTGCTTGTCTCCGATAATATAGCATACATACTAAATGGCATGGATCATTTCAAGAATTATGTTGTCGGTAATCATTTACTACATAACAAGCAATTCTGCTGTAACATTTATGCTCTGTATTCATAAGAATATGTGGTATAGATATCCTATTTTCTTCTTTTTTTTGACCCAGGTATTATGGACTTGAAATGAGTTTTTAAGAAACTCAACTTATTTTCACAAATGTAATATCAAGTTTCCCGAATTGAAATCAACTGATGAAATAAGTTCATTGATATGACAATAATATTAGTAGAAAACGAACTACTTACATAGTACTAAAATTTACTGTTTCACTTATTTTCTGGGATATAACTAGTCATTGTTTATCAGTAATGATGTTTACTGTGAAATGAGTCCGAAAAACTGTCAAGTTCTCGGATAATTTCAGCTGGATACCTTTGTTACTGTTTTTATTAAACTAAATACAGGTCTTTGAAGTTTGTCATAGACTAGTTGTCCTTGATGTTCTATCCATTGTGGCTTTTAGGTAGGATGCAATATTACTCAATAACTTACCTGACCACAGTAAATGCAGATCATTTTCATCATGAATTGGGACTACCTAAATAACTGTTGAAAATAAGGGAACTATAAGTAGCTATTTCCTCTAGACTTCAGAACGTTTTAAAAGTGTATACTGACAATCACAAACACAATCGAACCCAGAGTCTTTTGGTATCACTATGAGTAATACGTCATTAGGTTACTGAGTTGGAATACAGACATTTCGTTTATCGATCACAGTCATTCTGTAATTATAGTTTAACTATCATTCAATATTATCGATGAGCAATAAGTTTATGTCGTGCATGATTTATTCAGAAGGTTATTGGTTATAAAATCAAAGAAATGTTTTTTTTATTGAGCACTTATGTAATTGAACATAATTCATTTCTAAAAAATAGTTTCCCATCAAATTCATTCAATAATTTCTGCTGAATATATATTCTATGCTTTGACTTTTTAACAAAATTACATACAAAAACTTTGTTCATTTGACAAACAGTGCTTAAGAGTTATATTCTAATTCGTATGGTACTTCAGTTGAGAAATATTAAAAAAGTGGAGTTTCTAAAAGTTATAATAATTGTTATTCATGTTCATACGTTTAATGAAGTTACGTTTTCTTAATTGTTTCATTACAAAGATTTGATTTTCATTCAATGTGACAATAATGGTACTTGGTAAGCAAAGTTGGATAGTGGCTAGCAGTGGAATCCAGGACGCGCGTTTTATCCTATTTTGAACTCGTCAGCTGGATGTAGCTGCATCTCAGAGTTGATGTTAACTCTGGGACTCAAACCCAGTACCTTTCTCTTCAAACGCCATCGCGTTATCCACTTGGCCACTGAGTCCTGATAGCCACTTGCTTGTGCAATGGGGTGAAGTTGAAATTTACTTAGTATTGTTTGTTTGGATCTTCCCATTGATGCTTTTTAGGACTGCAACTGATCAGTCTCTAATCGGCATATGTGCATACTGTGCGTATTGCCTCGATATAGCCTAAAATAATGGTACTTATTCACTTTTGTTCAAGGCATGTTCAGATCTTATCTCCAGTGATAATGAAAACCTTGCAATTAAATTATTCGACTCAATAAAACATAATATTGAAATTTAAAACAGTTAATCCTAGTCTCATAGTCATTAGGTGCCTACTGTGTTAACTAATTTTAAATAATGATTCATTCAATGTTAAGAACTAGTCACTTACTTTAGGTACTGCATTTCAACTTTATTATTGCTTACACATGTTAAGTAGCATTAAATCTGCTTCAATGAACGCTCCTTAAATTTATTGCTTCGCATAAACCACACTACTTAAAACATTAGCAGTGTAAATTTGCCGATATTTTATGTTGAATTTGGAGTGTAGTCTGTTTTTTTTTTAAATACTTTTATTAATGCTTTAGAAAACTTTAAAACGATGTTATGATTAAAATAACGAATGTCTTTTCAAACCTATCAGAGCAGATCTTGATGCAGTACTCTCATTTTTACTCCATTAACATTGTTAATTTGAATCATGAGAAACTTGATTTATCGAAAATGCTTTTTAAAATATATACCATGAATAGGAAATCCCTTTTCTTTATAATCGCTTTCACTACTAATATTGTGTTGAGTGAGTGAAAGTTTTGTTTTTTTCTTTCCTACTTAATTAGGGTGCTATATCATTTGCTGGGGCTACAATGAAATGGCTAAAGACTAAACTGGATGCGTTTAAAGATGATGCAGAATGTGAGAAATTGTCGGCTTCAGTATACAGAAAACAAAGATTTAATGAACCAGATCCATGCTATTTAGTTCCAGCATTTAGTGGTCTTTTCTGTCCATGGTGGCAAGAAAGTGCACGTTGTGTTATTTGTGGGATTACAGCGAATGTTGATAAATCTGATCTTATTTATGCTGGCTTAAGATCATCTGTATATCAAACACATGATGTTCTCTTTGTGGCTACTTTAGCTAAAGCTAATAATAAATACCATTCAATAGCTCCATTAGTGACATTAAAAAAACCAACTGAAATTATTGTTGATGGTGGAATGTCCAATAGTGACACTCTTATGCAAAGTTTAGCTGACATTTTGAGTAGGTTTGACCATTCTTTATCATCGTTATTATTATTATTATTTTACCCAGCATGTCTGTAATAAGTTGATACATCACTTTATTTCAACTCTATATAATCTCAACGTTAATATTTGTGTAGGTTTACTCAATCAGAATATCGTAAAACAAGAATTTGGCGGCAATAGTCAATTCACTGACTTTGAAACTGTTACTCATGCAAATAAACGTGCTAGGAAGATAGTCTCCTGATTAGTTGTTCATCACAGTTAATCAGCGAATCTCATAATCATTGTCAAATAATAATATTAACTGTCAAGAAATTTATCTCTCAGTCTTTACAATCTACCCTGAATTATTCAAGTAATCAGTCATTTAACCTTATAGAATATTTGCATTGGCAATCAATATACAAATAAAAGCTACAGAATTAAAGTACATGAATAAATCATTTATCAGACAGGATTCAGGTGAACAATCAATCTCAAAGTTATTTATTTTTAATCCTAAATTCCAATAAAAAATAAAATACGTATATGGTTAAACTAAACTGTGAGTATACTATTAGTAGATATCTATAGAAAAAATAACATTCTCTAATCTTTCACCTGGATTACCTTGACGAGTAAAAAGCTTTGGTGATTGTTTGGATGGCTAATATTAGTCAACTTTTCCTGTTTCCAAGTTCCAATCAACTGAAAAAGCACGAACATAACCTTAAGTATTAGAATTTATCCACTTTTAGTAAATAACTGTAATTCAACTACGACATTCAATCCAAATGACATTAAGATAATGATCGGAATATATTATCGTACTGTTCATTTTTGTAAAAAAATAATTCGTATACAAACAATTGTTTTTTAATCCTACAGGAAATATTAAGCTTGAACAAGAAACAGTTGAAAACAAAATAATATTTCCAGACGAGAATAGATATACCGAAAAGAAAATGAAAGGATTAATTTCAAGGCTTAATAAAATAATAAGGTTTATTAACATAATTGAAGTCCGTATGGTAATTGAAAGCTCCAAATCCAACTTTCAAATTTTTAACATTTCACTATAATTCTAGTTGTTTGCATTTCTGAAGAAACAATTGATCTTTAATTTGTGAACAGTGATATGCAGGTAGCAGAAAAACAAGGAATCTGTTTAAATAATAATTATTCGTGAATCTATACTTGTTGTCAAAGTTGCAAAATATGAATAGACCAGGTTTGTGGATATCATTCAACTCAGAGTGTACATCAAAATCCTATTTTGACTAGAACAAATAAAAGAGATCATTTCCATTTAAAGATGGGACTTTTTCTTCAGTGTGCATACGTGATCCTTCTGGTAATAGGATTTAAAATGAAACCACTCTTCAGTGAACCATGGTTTTTAGTGTATATCTACCCTGAAGCCAATTAGTTTTGTAGACTTCAATGTTTCAAAATAAGTTGTATTATTGTTTCGTTTCTTTATTTCTCATGGTTATTTTCAAGGTAGTAGTGAATATCATTATAATAAGGGAAGAGTACGATTTGGGAAACTTTTTGATTGTTTAAACTTCTATTGAAATGTAAATTGATATGTAATTATCATGCACTTTTATAATAATAATCAAAAAAAAGTATAGTAACTTCATTGAACTAGCTAACCGATCAAGTTCAACCTATATCTAAAAAATATCTCTTTCTTATTTGAAGTATACGTTTGATTTTCATGAATTTTACTGGTTAGCAAAACTTATGTTACATTTCATGTAAAAAAGTAATTGAATAACTGACCAACTTAATGCTACTGATATAATATATATTACGTAATTCTTTATTTCATATTGTTTAGTTATCTCCTCTACTTATTTTATTTTTCATTGAATAGATGTAACTGTTCGACGTCATAATCATTCTGATGTTATGACTGCATTAGGTGCAGCAATTACTGTGGCATTAGCACTGAATATTGATCCAACTGGACTATTAAAAGTTCGAGAATATTCATCTTATAAATCAGATGAATATCAGTCAACATTTCATTCAAAAATTAATTCAAATGACCGTGCTGTTAAATTATACGGTTGGCATGAATCAGTTAAACGAAGTTTACACTGGATACCCAATAAATCAATAAATGAATCACAGAATACACTTCTCGATTCATTGGATCGTATCTGTAATGAGGAATGTGAAAATAAGAACAGAATTAAAGTGAATGAAGTTCTGTTTAATGTGTTCATTTATTTCTCTATTTCTATTCATTATTCTATATCATTTAGTAAAAATATTATTGTCTGTATAGTTAAAGAAGTCGTTTCTACTTTCTAATAATCCATTACTCGTATTTTATTCTAAGCGTTTATTTACACGAAAATCTAAAGTCTGTCTCATAAATGCTGATTTTTGTTCTATGTGATGATACACAATAGCGACTGGTATTTCGAGTCATTTTTAATTTCAAAAGTTGAGGTCATGAGTCAATTGAAGCTAGACCGCTATGGAAAACCTGGAAGACCTGAACAACCGTTTCGTCCTATTGTGGGACTCCTCAGTAGTACGCATCCACGATCCCGCCTCGCGAGATTCAAACCCAGGGCCTATCAGTCTTGCGCGCGATCACTTAACCTATAGACCACTGAGCCGGTATCCAACGGTGATCTCAACTATTGAAATTACTATAACATCCACAAAACCCTTCTGATATTGATCATTTTTAGTTATTTCAAAAGTCCATATACCAAACTAAGTCATTTTAATTTGTTGCTATAACTGTTATGATAGATGTCTACAAACTAAGTAATTATTCATGAGTGATATATTTAATCCCGACCGTTGCTGCTACCTTGACGTGGTGATCGGGCTTGCCTATCGTGATGAACCAATCGAGCTATACTGGCTGGAACAATCGTTCCTCAAGGTCCTACCATGCCAGACAGGTCGGTTGAAAAACGGTAAGACTAAAGGCAGCAAACCGAAGCTCCGACGGCGAAGTCGTACTGCTGATTGTACAGAGGTGTGACGGCAGTAAGGTGTTTCCTTCAGACAACCAGCAGAACAGCGATGCTGCCTCTTCACAAGGAGGGATGGGGTTGAAAGAGGTCGACCCTAAAAATACACACTTCGCCTCATCCTATAGATATTCGTCTCCGGCGGTAGAGTCACAACAATTACGGAGATAACACAAAAATTACCCACAAAAGGGTCGTGTGACCGGCCTCAAACACAGTTGTCTCTTGGGCACTGTGGTGACACTCTCATGTCACTTTGTCCGGTTCTAAGCCAATTTCTTTTTCAGGTACCTCTAGAAGAGTCCTTTCACGGTGTGGGCAACCAGGAAGTGATAACTGCCCTCATACTTCTAACAGCACTCAAGATCACTGTATTCATAGTCAATCTCCTTCCTCAACTCCTATTATTTCTCCCACCTCGACTATCAACTCTGTCAACTCTAATGAATGGTTTATATAACACAAATACGGTGAGATTACATACATAGTGAAATCAGGGTAGAGAACAATAATAGAAAGGAACTCATGACATTAATTAGTGTCAGAACATTTAGCGAGCTTGGTGTTTCTTTGTCTGAGCTCACTGGCTACATTTTAATAGGAAAACTAAAAAAGATCAAATATTTAAAGTATAACAGGAATGGTTAGTTTTCGCATCATTGTGACGTTAAAGTTGCACTCATGATTTTAGGAAGGGATTCGGGTTAAAAACCAATTATTTAAGAATGTAAAAGTGGTTGAAATCTTCTGAGTGCCAGTGATTCTATGAAGAAAAATATAACGTAATGACAGATTAAAAATCTAATCTATGTTTGGTTCAAATATCCGTCTCAAAAATATACTTTGATGTGAAGTAGCACAATTCACCTATCCCATTACTGAATTGGGATTGTCCTGTCGAATAAGTTTAAATTCATTTCGGTACATTTCTTATTATCATAAACTTTACATTTCAATTGCTAGTTGTTCGTTTGTGTTGTCACTCACATATAAACTGGTAAATACTTTGGGAGGTGAAGTAAAGATTTGTATGTTTTAAGACTTGTATAATGTAATAGGGTCAGTTCTTTTGGTACAGAAAAATTTGGTTGCTTATTATTTATTTTCAGTAGTTGTTTTCAACCTCTGTCATCAAATTAGACTATCTAGTTATCTTCTGCAATCAGAAATTGATTAAACACTCTTCGACAAATAACAGTAAAGCTGTCTGACGAATGTTTATCTATTCTACTGGATATTCATTTCATATTAGTGTTTTAATCGACAACGTCTTCGTCATATATATTTTCAATGAAGGTACATGAATGAAATTCTTTGTTTATAACGTTGTATAATACGCATTATCTTCTCTAATTCAACATATCTAGTTATAATGATAAACACTTACTAGGAGCATCGCTTACTTTCGTGTTTAAATAATCATTACTTGTTAAAGCCTTACCATTTTATTCGAGTAATATATCAGCGCAAAATAATCCATAACTATTCAATGGTTACAATGATGATCATGAAAGAGAATGACTTTAGCTGGCAAACTGTTTATAGTATTACTACAGCTATTCCTTCTGTTTTTTTTTCTATTTGTATCCATAATCATATGTTTTCAATTTCTGATTATTATGAAAGAAAAATCAGTGTTCATTGAATTCACAAAAAATATCGTTTGGTCTAACAGCTATTGGTCTATTTTTACTTGGATTGTTCGTTGGTCAAAGAATTAAATGATCTGTTTACTCTATGCTTCCATATATATATAGACCATAATTTAAACTTCATTTTAAAACAAACTATCTTATTATCAGTTAATTCATCTATTTAATAAATTATACCTAAGTAATCTTCATGTGTCGTTTTTTGTATATCATTTATCTTTATATTACTTGTCTGGAAAAGAAATTATACAGTGGAATGTTATAGCATGAAAGAAGGTTTGTGTTTTAAAATTTAGCCTCAGTAGGAGCCATAACCTTATGAAAATGCATGTTGTGTAACATCGATATTAGTTGTTGATATATCACTAATAAATCAAAAACAACTTGACAACTTAGTAGTTGATCAATTTTTCATCATCAGTCTAAGGACTTTTCAGAAACAAGTAATGGTAAAACTATCGACTTATCAAGAATACCCACCGAGGCATATAAATTAAACCCTTTTTATATTAACAATTCCACGCCTTTACAAATACATTTAAAAATAGAGAAAAATGGACCATTGGTCATTAGAACATTATAATTGATATTATTAGTTTCAATGAAAAGAAAACTATTCGATTATAAATGCACATGATGAAAAAATTTACTTACGGTTCAGCCTTTTTCAATGGAGGTGTCCATCGTTCTCCATAAACCGGTTAAATACCTTAGTTATATTAATATTCGAAGTCCTACAGATTATACATTCTAAATCAGTTAATATGCGGAATTTTATAACTCTTTATAGATTTCATGTAACTACCTCCTACTTTTCTCAGTCTACTAAATCCTATGTGAAATATTATACTAGACAGTACATAGAGAAACTAATTATAACTAGACAACTACAAATAGGAATTGGAGTTCACCAGCCCAGATACAAATATGTGAATATTGAATGTTAATGCATTCAAATCTGCCTAAGACCGGACAGACGATTAAAATATATAAAATTGCTAATGCAAATTAATGCAGAGATTTTATTGTGTTATCTGGTAATTAGTTGAAAGATTTTAATTAAGTAGAAGTGATTCGCAAAAATAATTTGATTAGTATACGTGTTACACATAGTGATAATTTTTGTCAGTTTTTAAAACCATAACCTTACTAACTCGGATACTGTTTACTCCGCGATTAATAGCCCACATAATAGTTTCACTTAGTTTATCCTCTAAGCAGAGTAACAGACGAATGGTGATAAGTAAACTTTATGTTTTAGATTCAACTGTTTGCCTTTCCATTGCTCTTGAGTCTCAGAATTTGAATATAATGAAGGTAGCTCGCCTATGCTCTCTACGGGAACGGAAGAAAGGTTATTTTCTAGTGCTTACTTTTGAGAAATGCCGAGCCATATTCTGCATCTCCGCAGTTTATAAGAGAGCTCATGCCATCTGTAGTCTTTGCTTGTTCATCACATAAACAGAGCACTGCCTTGATTCTTTTATATCAGAAACGTTAGATACTAAACACCAAATGCCTATGATTTACTACATTGTCTCCATAGTAAGCTGAGTTTGCTGACTATGTACTTATTCCTTGCTCTTTATTTGGAATGACGCTTGCTATCGTCTTGGAATGCATAGTACTGTGGCGCTTGCTGTAACAGATAGGCTTAACGTGTCCAATATCGAATGCCAGATGATTACTATAACTCCTGCACTAAAACAACCGAATTTGCATGATACGGGATTTATTATGTAAACCCCAAGTTACGTTATTCGTTAGTACAGAATCTATAGAAATGGTTTTACTGTTTAAAACCCCTCAGTGACTAACGACAACTGTGAAAAGATAGACAACAACAATCTCGAACAAGACCAACGGGAATGTGAGAATGGACATCATTACATAAATTTACAATTCATTCAAACAAAATAATGCAGTCACAAGTCAGCTTTATTTACAATTGCATAGAGAAGCAGAAGTTGGTGTATCTGTATAGGGATACAGAAATCCTATCACATGTAATTTGTGCATAACATTCCTCACATTCATAACCACACAACTGCAAAGCCTTAATTATTTGACTGGTTAAGATCTGTCTTTATGGTTTCATTTTGTTGTCTTATGGTGCCGAACTACTGAAGAAAGCGTCTTGTTCGACCAAAATCAGGGTTATGGCGTGGAGCGTTTGATTACCGTTGCTCTCTGACTGTGTTAGAAAAGTTTGTCGTTTGATAGGTTCGTTCAGGCGAAAGTTTGCATTACGAAGAAAAATAATATAAGATATGACCTCAGAATTTGATTCTTTTGAAATATTTTCATCAAATTTGTTAAAAGTTTCATTGGGGGAATATTGGATCATCAGAAAAATCAGCATTTACCGAAACTGAATCTGGTCTTTGATCAGAATTTGACTCATTCAACATTTTATTCTCAGAGCTGTAAGAGGTTTCATCAGAAATATGTGAATCATTATGACAAACCACATCTGGTCCAGCAAAAGGAGATATTTGACAAGTAGTTGGTTGTTTAAATCCATTTGTCTCACAATTATCTTGAGTTTCGTTCAACTCTGAATTGCTCTGTGACATTTTACCGCTTCCAGAAGTATTGAAAATGGATAAATGATCATTAGAAACATCCTTCTTAGCAGAAACACAAATTTTAGTATTAGTTTCAGCGAAATGAACCATGGTATTACAAACTGACTGAATATGTCCAATCTTTCCACATTTAAAGCATTTAGAATCACGAAATATACATGAATTACATGGGTGAAACTTGCCACAGAACAAGCATTTACTAAACTCGTGCTCGTCTTCATGAACTGTTTCACAATGTAGTGAATTGTTATGTGAATAACCTTTGTGGGGAGTAGTGTAACGTCGTGTACTATATTACACCTACATAGCTTATTCTAGTTTCTGGACAAGCCAATTCACCTATAACGTTATGAGTCATATTTTGATCTTGTTAATTATTCCCTTAGTGACCTTGACTATTTTTTTATATGAGCGTATGTGTATGCACACTTCTTATCCTACCTATCACATGTCTGTCATTCATTTTAGTCTGACTATAAATGTTGATTAATGCTTGCTTATAACGAGTTGGCTTCCCAGCCATCTCCACTCTGCGTCATCTTTCCTTCGCTTGCTTACATTTGCTAATGTGCTCACTGCCTTCTAGCCCATGTTAGTTATCAATAAAAATGTAGTTGCTGCTTCCCTTTGTCTTCTGATATTATACACCGTTCAGATTGTTATAATAACGGTTATCAAGACGATCGATTAACGAAGCACTACACTACATATTGGTAATCCCGACGTACGAACACGCAACACATATTGGCGATCCCGAATTACGAACGCGAAGCAAAGTTGGTAACTTCAACGTACGAACTCACAACATAATTGTTGAGCCGTATTTGGAACAGGCAACAGAATTGGCGACCGCAACGAGCGAACGCATATCAAAAATGGAACGGCCGACGACATATTCCGTTATGATTCGAATAATCATCATATGCTCATTATTACAATAATGTCATATCATCATCTAACGTGGAATTATTATTTTTGTTCTTATTGACATCAAACTATGACATTTACGCAGTCAACTCACTAATCGAACAAATTATAATTATATGGACATTACACGTTTTGATATTCGAAACTCACTGGATTATTTTTATTATCCAATGACGAAAATTTTTTCTGATTCGGGTGAGTTCGTTCCAATTTTTTTTAATGTCATTTTCGGCTTAATATTACACTCTATCATAGACATAAGTTTGGAGTCATACTCCCGATAGTAGGAACTTATGTTCTCGATAGACAACTGATGTTCATTCATCTCATCGGTACTCAGCAATCGTCGTTTTCTACTTTTTACGCGACAACCTTAACTGAGCTTCAGCAATTTTGGTTTCACGATGATCCCTACTTTAATGTCTATATATAAACCAAGTATTTGACGCCGCATTACCAGCCGATTAGTAATGATTATGTTCATATTATTTATTCATTCACATGTATATCTGAATGCTGCATCATCCATCACCGATAATCACAATTCGATTACTGCAATTAATATTTTATTTCCATTGTACTGTACACCAGAACATAGAGTTTAGAGCTAGTCTCTCAAAGATACACTCTTGTTCGTCACATTCAAGTCAGTCTCACTCGCTGTCATCGACAATCATATGTATTGGTATTTTTATCATGCCTTAAAACGGTTTCGTAACAAATGAGGTTGAGCGCATATCCCTCTAACTACACAAACCACGCTAGGCTTCTAGACCAAAAAGGAATACGACTCCGCATATCTCGTCTAAGCAGTCACTATCCTGTTCCTCTGGTCATTCTACTAATACATATTTAACGATAACTCAACGCAGGCGTTAGCGCACGCTGATTTCGCATTTTATTATCATAATCAATTGCAGTACAGCAATGAATACCACCTGTTGATGCAGTCATCTTCCTACGGCTGGATTACTTCTTATCCCACGTAAACTTCAGTTATGTAAATTCGAATACACTCATCGCTAAGCGACTCTATTTACTCTACTGCGACTTATCAGAAAATCATATTTCACTGTTCTTCATTCTCATATTCAATTGGCACTACAGACCAATTTTAATTATATTCTACATTACTTATTTCCACGATTTATTCCGCTGTCATACCCATAAACAATTTATTGCTCTATTTTCACGATATTTCGAATTGCTCATACAAACATGTTATTTTATCATCCGGACAGTGACGACATAAATGCATGTTAAATTTTTTGTACGCTTACTAATTTACTCATAATCACATGCTAACATTTCCATTTCTGTCCTCATTTTGACAATTTTAATGTACATTTTCACATAAGTGTGACATTTTCATTTAATAAACTCACCCCTCGATCGACACTGTAACTTATTCGATATAGTACCATTTTTTTTCTCTACATATTATTAACGTTATCCATATGCCATTTCAGTGTTATTTTCAAATTAATGTGCTATTACTTTAATTTTGGTTTGTGAACGCATATACACCTCCTCCCCCTTGTTTATTTTGCATAACAGTGTTTCCTCCGGACACTCTGGGGGGAGCTATGTGGGGAGTAGTGTAACGTCGTGTACTATATTACACCTACATAGCTTATTCTAGTTTCTGGACAAGCCAATTCACCTATAACGTTAT